TCAAGATGTTGTTGCCTTGACTGGGTAAAGCATGGACTTTCATGGTGTGTGATTCGTGAGAGTGATAAAGGAGCGATTGTGAGTCAAAATTAATAGGAGAAAAGTTGAAGGAATATTGATTACAAAAAAAAGTGATCGCCTTTTTTCGGTAGGGAATCAAAATTTCCAGAAAAGCTACGGCTCTGTAAATTTATCGATTTCTGATCCATCTTTGAGATTAGTAAAGCTGCGATTTTTGAAGAGACGGAAACAGAATGTTTCATTTTAATTTACAGAGTAACTTCTGTCTACGTGGATTTTAACTGAAACGCCGATGCTCCTTCCGCCGTCGATAACCTCAACCACCGCCTCCGCCGCCGCGAATGCTGTTTTAAACGGACTCTCACTCTGCAAAACGCTCAGCCAAATCAAGCAACTCCATGCGCATATCCTCCGTACAGTGTTCGACAACCGCCTCAACACGTTTCTCTTCAGCCTCTCCTCTTCTTCTTCCTCTATCAGTCTCACCTACGCTCTCTCCGTCTTCTCATCTATCCCTTCTCCGCCGGAATCCGTCGTGTTCAATCCTCTTCTCCGGAATCTCTCACGTTCCGGTGAATTCAGAGCGACGATCCTGTTCTACCAGAGGATTAGACATGTCGGTTGTCGTCTCGATCAATTCAGCTTCCCTCCGATTCTTAAATCAGCCTCTAAAGTCTCGGCCTTGTTCCAGGGTATGGAGCTTCACGGCGTTGCGTTGAAGATAGCCACACTCTCCGACCCGTTTGTGGAGACTGGAGTTATGGATATGTACGCGTCTTGCGGTAGAATCATCGACGCACGCAAAGTGTTCGACGAAATGTCTCAGAGAGATGTCGTTACATGGAATACAATGATTGAGAGGTGACGAATCATCATCATAAATATGTAATGTAGTTTAGTGTTTATGTATCTTCTCTGAAGTTTGTTACTTTGATCTTGTTTGCAGGTATTGCCGATTTGGTCTTGTAGATGAAGCTTTCAAGCTTTTTGAGGAGATGAAGGATTCTAATGTGATGCCAGATGAGATGATTCTCTGTAACATTGTCTCCGCATGTGGCCGTACCGGAAATACAAGATATAACAGAGCGATTTACGAGTTTTTGAAAGAGAATGATGTGAGGCTTGACACTCATTTGCTCACTTCTCTTGTGACTATGTATGCTGGAGCAGGGTGTATGGATATGGCAATGGAGTTTTATACGAAGATGTCAGTGAGAAGCTTGTTCGTTTCCACTGCCATGGTTTCCAGGTTTGCGAAAGCTGGGAGGCTAGAAGAAGCTCGGGATGTGTTTGACCAAATGGAGAAGAAAGACTTGGTGTGTTGGACGACGATGATTTCAGGTTATGCTGAGAGTGATCGTCCTCAAGAAGCTTTAAGAGTTTTCGAGGAAATGCTTCGCTCTGGGGTGAAACCTGATGAGATTGCTATGTGTAGTGTTGTATCAGCTTGTGCGAACCTCGGTGCTCTGGATAAAGCGAAATGGATTCATGATTACATTGGTCTCAACGGGCTTGAATCATCGTTGGCGATGAGTAATGCTCTCATTAACATGTATGCGAAGTGCGGAGGTTTGGATGCAGCGAGAGATGTGTTTGAGAAGATGGAAACGAAGAATGTTGTGTCATGGAGCTCTATGATCAATGCCTTTTCTATTCATGGAGAAGCTAATGAGGCTCTTACGTTATTCGCCCGGATGAAACAGGAGAATGTTGAGCCGAATGAAGTTACTTTTGTAGGAGTGCTCTATGGTTGTAGCCACGGAGGATTAGTTGAAGAAGGCAAGAAGATGTTTGCATCAATGACTGATGAATACAACATTACTCCTAAGCTTGAGCATTATGGATGCATGGTTGATCTCTTTGGCCGTGCTAATCGATTACGAGAAGCTCTTGAGGTTATAGAATCGATGCCAATGGAGCCTAATGTTGTCATTTGGGGGTCGTTGATGTCAGCTTGTAGAGTCAACGGCGAGCTTGAGTTAGGTGAAGTTGCAGCCAAACACATCCTCGAGCTGGAACCTGATCACGACGGGGCTCTTGTGTTAATGTCAAATATATACGCGAGAGAACAGAGATGGGACGATGTGAGGAAGATAAGGCTTGTGATGGAGGAAAAGAATGTGTTCAAGGAGAAAGGTCTTAGCAGGATTGACTTAAACGGGAAATCGCATGAGTTTCTTATTGGTGACAAGAGACATGAACAATCTGATGACATTTATGCAAAGCTTGAAGAGGTTGTAAGTAAATTGAAGCTTGTGGGTTATGTTCCAGACTCTTGTAGTGTTTTGGTGGATGTGTAGGAGGACGAGAAGAAGGATTTTGTTCTGGTGACTGTTATGGGAAAAATTTTGAAGTAATTATTCAAAATATTTAAGTTTCATTCAGGATTACTTATTTGTGTAAACGATTCTATATTTTTATTATATGATAGTATGATACATTAGCCAACACTAGAGGAAGAAAAGGACTAAGAGAACAAAGATGTGTTCACAATTTATTACGTAGTGTTAGATCTTGCAAACTTCTTGGACGTCGCCGGTGATAAGTAACCGGCGGACCTCCTCCGTAACATCTCTCTCATGCCGTCGGCGACGAGCTCTGCCGGGTTGGCTTTACTAAAGCTACCACAAAAGGACACGTGGGAGTTGAGAGCTTCCTCCACCGTGGTCTTCTTCTTCCGACTACGGCTGACTTCGTCACTCACCGCCTCCGAGCAAAGCCCACAAAGCCATTTTCCGGCGAACTTGGCTTTGACTTTACTAATGTAATGTTGTGTACAGTCTTCCGTTAAGCCGCAACACTCGCAAGTCACCGATTCAATCTCCATTATTGACCAATCTAGCTCCAATAGTGCTATTTAATTTTATGATAATGTTTCACTTTTTTTTTTTTTGAATTTATGAATGTTGAACTAGAGCTAATTGTTAGTTATATATACACATATATGTTGCATGGTGGGGTTTCTATGTTTGGCTCTAGACTTGAAACATTAATATTATATTCTAGAGAAGTTGAGAAGTAGAGCAAATGCATTATTACACTTTGGATTCATTATCTTAAAATCTAAACATGAATTATTCTATCAAACGCAATTTCAAATTTGAGCGCCACATAATTCCTCGATTCCAAGGTTTGTAAGGTGGGACAGCTACAATGGTAATATCAGACCGAACTTTGAAAACAACACGACCAAAGTAGCTTTGGACTTTTCATATATATAAGATGTGTTTCTCATTTATAAGTTGTGTTCGTCCACGAATCCACGTAGAAGAAAAATAGTTATTGCAGCCTACCAAATGTTTGTATATATATATAAAGATTTAAAACTAGGGAGGGCAAGGAGTTGCAATAATTGTTGGCTCCATGTTCTAAGGGACATGGGATTGTGATTTGTGGAAATGGAGACAAAGGTGGTCAGGCTCAAGGGTCCAGTAGTCTACTGCATTATTTGAACTTCATCTCATGCTCATATGATCAATTAGTAATGATAACTTACGACCAAAAAATTAGAATTCTATGACCATCATGACTTGTAATTTAGAGGTTTGTGCTGATATGCGTCATCATCCAAGGTAATCACTCTATTTTAATTTCCGTAATATGGCTACAAGCCTACAACTAGTCCGGAGTGGCTACAACCATAGACTGATGAACACACAAACAAAGAAGATATGATTTTAATTAGCAAAGTTTCCAGAATTACTAGATTTAATTAATAGGTGGCATCAGTTCAGAATGGGGATTATGTGGCCATTATCTATTGATTAAAAGGAAGAAAAAAAAAACCAAAGAGTAGGTCTTAGTTAATTTATGTTGCTATTTTTGCCTTAAATTCTATAGACATTTGGATGACTATTGCTTGTGACTGTCTTCCAGATTTCAGCCATATATAAATGTTTGTCGATCTATCTATACGTGCCACGTTATATATCTCTAGTTAATTATAGCATTTCAGTTATCTCAGTATGACGAATTTTCTTTGTTAACATTTGTTAAAAATTAATTAATACTCGGATACGTGTGACTAATTTCTGTGATAATGGCCATTATACTTTCTTGCTAGGTTTTCGATATTCTCACGAAGTAGGGTCTTCGGTTTCTGATAAGAATATAGAGTAGAGAAACCTTAGCTCTTAATGATCTTCAACAATGGTTACAAATACAGAGTGTATTGGTAGTTTAACGAGAGCCAAACTCTCTCGACACTTACAATTCTCTTTACCTAATGCTTTGTCAGTTTCATGTGTTTTAGTCAACATTGCAGTCTGCTTGAACGACAATGCAATCTCGGACACATTCTTAATTTATCATATTTAACTTCAAATTTTGGCTTATCCAGTTATCATGTTCTTACTATATGTCTATATACATTGTTTGTTGCATTATATTCCAGTTTTTCATGTTTCTACGAAGTTAATACGTTGTTGACTGTTTTTTTAACTCGATACCGGAACCTATTCTAGTTAAAATATATATATATATATATATATATATATATATATATATATGTGAGTCATCTACTGGTTATCATAAAAACAATATCTCAATTTAACAGAGAACTAGAGAAGGAAAGGGTTTATATATATATATATGTACTGGTAAGTTAATACTATTAGAAAGAGGAGCATCGAGTTTAATCCCAAGAAAGTGAAAAAGATGAATCTAATAGAAAATAATCTCCAAACTAGAGTGTTTTCTTTGTAACGATTTTGTGTGTGTGTTTCGATTGAAAATGAGAAGATTCCAACATTGTGTGATGATGATATATGGAAAGTGCTTCATTGAGATTTCCAACATCTCTTAGATCGTGCAGATAACAACACCTTAAATATGTATATAAATAATGATTCCAAACATCCATACGCTTCCTCCTCATTTCTCAATTAGTCAAAGTTTTGTGTTCAATATATACAAAGTCTCTTTTGTCATTCATTCCATCCTTCACATACCTGCCTTGATCCTCACTCCATCATATACTAATGGCTTCTTCTCTATTCTTTGGTACTGTTGCTGCTGCAATAGGCTTCTTCACGCTCTATAGGAAATTCAGATTCCATCAAGATGATAAAGAAATCGGTATCTCACCTTCTTCTTCAACACCTCCATCTTCTTCATCTCCTTGCATGGATCTTTCTCCTTTTTCTGGCGACTGTACTCATCAAGTCTTCCCGAGTTTCCATGGACCAGATGTCCGCAAAGACTTCCTCAGTCATTTTTTAAAAGAGTTTAGAATCAAGGGGATCCTCCCATTCATTGACAATGATATCCGAAGGAGCAAGTCAATCCGTCCTGAGATCATTAAAGCAATTATAGGATCTAAGATCGCGATCGTCATGATCTCGAGGAACTACGCTTCTTCAAAGTGGTGTCTTGACGAATTGGTGGAGATTATGAAGTGCAGGGAAGAGTTAGGTCAAATTGTGATGACTATTTTCTATAAAGTGGATCCATCTGATGTAAAGAAGACTGCTGGAGACTTTGGAAAGGTCTTCAAAAGAACTTGCTCAGGTCAAACAAAGGAGGACATTGAGAAATGGAAACAAGCTTTAGAGAAAGTGGCCACAATAGCCGGTTACCATTTAAACAACTGGTTCGAACTTCATACATTTTATTTATGTTTTTTCTTTCATGACTACCAAACAAATGTATTGACCCTCTCCTTTTCTAGGGATAATGAAGCGGCCATGATCGAAAAAATTGCCACCGATATTTCAAACCTGTTGAATTATTCGACTCCATCACGTGATGTTGATGTCTTAGTTGGGATGAGAGATCATATGAAAAGGATGGAACCGTTGTTATGCCTAGGCGCTGATGAAGTGAGGATGATTGGAGTTTGGGGTCCGTCAGGGATTGGTAAGAGCGCCATTGCTAGATTTTTATTTCACAAACACTCTCATCAATTTGAGTTCAGCACAATCATGGAGAATATAAGAGGATGTTGGTCGAGACCTTGTTCAGATGACTACCGTTCGAAGTTGCACTTACAAAAGCAAATGATGTCTCAAATATTCAACCAGAATGATATAGAAATTCCTCATTTAGGAGTTGCGCAAGAACGATTAAAAGACAAGAATATTGAAATTAAACTTGATTTTGATCAAGGTTTAATTTTGGGTCCATAAACAAATTATTATTAAACCCAAAATTAGGCCCAAGTTCTAGAACTCTCTAGAAACATCATAAGAGGTCATCACTTCCTCAAATTTTCTAGAGAATTCTACTAGATAACTCTCTAGATATTTATGTAGAACTTTCTAGTTCTTGTAAGACAAAAATCTAGATATTATGTTAGAGAGTTCTAGAGATTAGGATAAACTTGTAAGATAATTTGTAGAAAGTTGTAGAAGAAGAAGAAGAAATATCTAGGACCTAAGGAGGTTATAGAAGAGTGTAGAAACTTTGTAAGTAGATTTGGGAGGCTATAAATACCTCCTCACCCCCTCATTTGTAAATGCACAAGAAATTGAACAAGTTAATAAAGAGTGTTCTAAAGCTAAGTTCTCTCTTGTTCTTCTTAAAAGTCTTTCAAGTATTCTCTTGTGTTCTTCCATATTTCTCTTCATACTTAGAGGGTTTATTGTTTCTTTCGGGTTTCTCGGGTATTACGGTCTTGGGCTAGTGCTAAGCACTATCGGTGCTGGTTTCTCTACATGGTATCAGAGCCATTCTAATCTTGTGCTCATCAAGATCGGGATTTAGGAGAACTCGGGTTTACTCTAAGTATGGAATCAATGGGTCGTGTTGTTGGATTGGGAATGGAGATCTTAAACCAATCTAACTACCGGTTATGGAAGTCATGTATGGAGTCATACTTGGTGAGTGAGGACTTATGGGATGTCGTCGGCGGCAGTAGCACCACACCACCAATGGGAGCTGCTGCGACAGCGGAAGCGACAAAGGAATGGACACGGAAGAATGCCAAGGCGGAGTTTGCATTGAAGAGGTCAATATCCTCGGGAGTATTTGAGCATGTCTCAAGGTGCACATCCGCTAGTTCCATTTGGCAAGCGTTGGACCAACTGTTCAACAAGAAGAATGAGGCTCGTCTACAACTGTTAGAGAACGAGTTGGCGAATGCGAAGCAGGGGGAGTCTTCAATCTCAGAGTTCTTCATCAAGGTAAAGAACCTTTGCTCTGAGATTAACACTCTTAATCCGGAGGAGTCTATTTCGGAAGCTCGGTTAAAGCGGTCTATTATTCGTGGTTTACGACCCGAATATACACCGTTTGTGACTTCCGTTCAAGGATGGGCTACACAACCTTCCTTGGAGGAGTTTGAAAATCTGCTAGCTTCGCAAGAATCCTTAGCCACGCAAATGGCGGGAGTCAAAATCCATGATGACTCGGGGAGCGCTTTTGTAGCTCGGAGGCAACAGAGCTACAAAGGAAAAACCAAGAATGATGGTGTAAAGAATAATGATGGACGGGAAAGATCTTCTACGGGAGACAAGAAGCAGTTCAAGTGTTACCGGTGTGGAAAGCTTGGGCATTTCAAAAAGGACTGTCGGGTCAAGCTGAAGGAAACCAATATGGCGGAATCAAAAAGTCATACTGAAGACGAAGATTGGGGGAAATGTTTCACGGTGGAGGCTGCATCTTCAGGTACATCCACAACTAAAAATCTTGGAAATGATTGGATTGTGGATTCGGGTTGTAGCCATCATATTACCGGAAACGAGAAGTTATTTTCTAGTCTTCAACGTCATGACGGGAAAGAAGCTATTATCACTGCGGATAATTCAATCCACCGGGTTGAGAAGGAAGGGACTATTGTTATTGAAGGAGAAGAAGGAGGCCCAATCACTCTCAAGAACGTATACCATGTCCCTGGAGTTAAGAAGAATCTTCTTTCCGTGGTGAATGCGGTGGACTCAGGTAACTACGTTTTATTTGGACCAAAAGACGTTAAATTCTTGAAGAATATTCAAGAGTTAAAGGCGGACGTAGTTCACACCGGAGCACGGGTTAAAGATCTTTATGTCTTATCGGCCTCAAATTCGTACATTGAGAAGATGAGTACGAATGATAATGCTTTTATTTGGCATGCTAGGCTTGGCCATATAAATATGACTAAGCTGAAGGCTATGGTGAATAAAGATCTGGTTAATGGGCTCCCAAAGTTGAAGATTCAAGATGAAGGAAAGCTTTGTGAAGGTTGTCAATATGGAAAATCACATAGACTTCCATTTGACAATTCTACTTCACGATGCAATGCTCCGTTGGAGAGGATCCATAGTGATTTGATGGGTCCGACGAGAACATCCTCCTATTCCGGGTTCCGCTACATGCTGTTGTTCGTTGATGATTACTCACGGTACACCTGGGTATACTTTGTGAAGGAAAAGTCAGAAGTATTCTCCAAGTTTCAAGAATTCAAGGTTACCGTGGAAGGAGAGTTGGGTCGGAAAATCAAGACCTTAAGGACGGATAATGGAGGGGAGTTTATGTCAAACGAGTTTCTCTCTTTCTGCCGAAAGCATGGTATCAAGAGAGAATTTTCATGTCCATACACACCTCAACAAAATGGAGTAGCAGAAAGGAAGATAAGGCATCTAAGTGAGACGTGTAGAAGCTGGCTACATGCGAAGAATTTGCCTAAGGCTCTATGGGCAGAAGGGATGAGATGTGCAGCCTATGTCATCAATCGGATGCCGCTTAGTCCAAATAATATGAAGTCTCCTTATGAGATGGTTCATGGGAAGAAGCCAACAGTGAAACATCTCAGGATATTTGGATCTATCTGCTATGTCCATGTGTTCGACTCTCAAAGAACCAAGCTGGAGGCAAAGGCGAAAAAGTGCATCTTTGTCGGCTATGATGAACAAAGGAAGGGGTGGAGGTGTATGGATCCAGAGACACACAGATACACTGTATCTCGTGATGTTGTCTTTGATGAAGTGTCTTCATATTACGGATCTCCTCAAGTCTTGGTTGAGCAAGATGGTGCGGGCTCACTTAAAGACGATGAACCAGCTGCTCAGATACCAAGTGATGGTGGAATTTCTGAACCAGAGATGCAAGGTGAAAGGGGGAGCACTAACCAAGAGGAAGAGGAGGAGGAAGATCATGGTTCCTTGGCTAATCAACGACCAAAACGGGACATCGTTAAACCTGCTCGGTACAGAGATGAAAGGTTTGTTACTACTTACTCATGCTACTTTGCATCTCCTTTTGATGAAGAAGAACCATCATCTTATGATGAAGCAAAAGGAGTTAAAGAGTGGGAGACCGCAATGAAGGAGGAGATGGATGCTCTAAAGAAAAATGAAACTTGGGATTTGGTTCCAAAACCCAAGGATGTCCAACCCGTCTCATGCAAATGGGTGTACCGGATCAAGCGTAAGAGGGATGGAAACATTGATAGACACAAAGCAAGATTGGTTGCTCGGGGATTTTCTCAGAAGTATGGAGAAGACTATGATGAGACTTTCAGTCCAGTGGCGAAGATGACTACGGTACGTACACTCTTATCTTTAGCTGCAAGCTTTGGCTGGAAGTTATGGCAGTTAGATGTGAAGAACGCTTTTCTATACGGAGAACTTGATAAAGAAATCTATATGGAGCAACCACTTGGTTACATATCACAAGAGCATCCCGATTATGTTTGCAAGCTAAAGAAGGCTTTGTATGGGTTAAAACAAGCTCCAAGGGCCTGGTATGGAAAGCTTGCTCAGTTTCTTCAGTTTTGCGGTTACTCTCCGTCGAACTCTGATCCGAGTCTGTTCTTCAAGAAGAATGGAGGAGTCCACGTGGTAGTCCTTCTTTATGTGGATGACTTGATAATTACCGGGAATGATGAAGCGGAAATTGCTCGTCTGCAAGAGGATATGTCGATAAGGTTTGAGATGAAGATGTTGGGTGAGCTGAACAACTTTCTTGGTTTGGAGGTTGAAAGGATGAAGGATGGAATATTCATCGGCCAACATAGCTACGCAAGAAGGATTGTAGAGAAGTTCGGGGTACACGAAGGAAAGACACGTACTACTCCGATGGATGCGAACATCAAGCTGAAGCGCGATGAAGGATCCTTGCTACCCGATCCTCGGCCTTATCGTTCTCTTGTGGGAAGTCTTCTATACTTAACCATTACAAGACCTGACATTTCCTTCGCGGTTGGTCTTGTAAGTCGGTTTATGCAGTCACCAAGGAAGCCACATCTAGAAGCGGCAAAGAAGATCTTGAAGTATGTGAAGACAACTCTTGGCATGGGTCTAATGTACAAGTACAATGCCAAGGTCTCTCTCTATGGCTTCACGGATGCTGACTTTGGTGGAGATCTAGATGGTCGAAAATCAACTTCGGGCTTTGTGTTCTTGTGTGGAGACACAAGCGTTTCATGGTGCAGCAAGAAACAAGCAACGGTGTCGCTGTCTACCACTGAAGCGGAGTATAAAGCTTCGACGCTCGCAGCCCAAGAGTGTATTTGGCTTCGAAGGCTTCTTGAAGATTTGTTTGAGCCAATCAACAAGCCGGTTGCCATATATGGAGATAACCAAAGTGCTATCAAGCTGGCTAACAATCCGGTGTTCCATGCAAGGACGAAGCATATTGAGTTGGAACATCACTTCATACGGGAGAAGGTGCTTGATGGAACAATTGAAGCTTTGGAGGTTCGAAGTGAGGATAATGTTGCAGATATCTTCACCAAGTCACTACCAAAAGGTCAGTTCGAGTTACTTCGCTCGAAACTCGGGATGGTTGATAAAATCAAGTTTAAGGGGGAGTATTGAAATTAAACTTGATTTTGATCAAGGTTTAATTTTGGGTCCATAAACAAATTATTATTAAACCCAAAATTAGGCCCAAGTTCTAGAACTCTCTAGAAACATCATAAGAGGTCATCACTTCCTCAAATTTTCTAGAGAATTCTACTAGATAACTCTCTAGATATTTATGTAGAACTTTCTAGTTCTTGTAAGACAAGAAATCTAGATATTATGTTAGAGAGTTCTAGAGATTAGGATAAACTTGTAAGATAATTTGTAGAAAGTTGTAGAAGAAGAAGAAGAAATATCTAGGACCTAAGGAGGTTATAGAAGAGTGTAGAAACTTTGTAAGTAGATTTGGGAGGCTATAAATACCTCCTCACCCCCTCATTTGTAAATGTACAAGAAATTGAACAAGTTAATAAAGAGTGTTCTAAAGCTAAGTTCTCTCTTGTTCTTCTTAAAAGTCTTTCAAGTATTCTCTTGTGTTCTTCCATATTTCTCTTCATACTTAGAGGGTTTATTGTTTCTTTCGGGTTTCTCGGGTATTACGGTCTTGGGCTAGTGCTAAGCACTATCGGTGCTGGTTTCTCTATAAAGAAACTGTTGGTCGTTCTTGATGATGTTGATGTATTGGGACAATTAGATGCCCTGGCAAAAGAAACTCGGGGGTTTGGTCCTAAAAGTCGGATTATCATCACAACACAAGATCTAAGACTTTTGAAGAACCACGGGATCAACCATATTTACAAGGTGGACTTTCCACCAACTTCTGAGGCAATTCAAATTTTGTGCTTGTATGCCTTTGGTCAATATTCCCCACATGATGGTTTCGAGAATCTTGCATGGCAAGTTACAAAACTTGTTGGTACACTCCCTTTGGCACTGAAGGTTATGGGTTCTTATTTACGAGGAAGGTCCAAGCAAGAATGGAAAGAGGCACTACCAAAGTTAAAGACTTGCCTTAACGCCGATATTCAAAGTGTTTTGAAGCTCAGCTATGATGCCTTAGATGCCAGAGATAAAGATTTATTTCTTCATATTGCATGTTTTTTCAATGGCCAATGGATCGATAATATATTTGAAGAAACGCTTGCAACTACTTTTCCAGGAGTATCACAAAGGCTTAGTGAGTTAGCTGAGAAGGCTATCATATCTACAAACTCGGTTTATATAGAGATGCATAAACTGCTGGCGCAATTGGGTAGAGAAATTGTTTGCAGACAATCCATTCATGAGCCTGGGCAACGCCAATTTCTGTTTGATGCTAAAGAAATATGTGAAGTACTCATTGACCATTCTGTAAGTTTGACATGTGTGCTTCATTTCCTTAGCCTTTAGTGAAATTGATTCATTTGATAGCTAACCATCTCTACTCTCATTTTTTTGGCTCGTTTTTTCAGGGAAGTAAAAATGTTTTAGGCATAGATCTCGCTTTATTTGAGATCAAAGAAGAATTAAATATAAGTGAGAGAGCTTTTGAAGGAATGTCAAATCTTCAGTTCTTAAGAGTCTATGGTTTTAAAGATAACAAAATCATATTGCACTTACCTAGAGGTCTGAACTATCTATCTCCAAAACTTAGATTACTACATTGGGAAGGTTTTCCGATGATATGTTTGCCCTTTACCTGTCATATGGCGTTCCTCGTCAGCCTAAAAATGCCGCACAGCAAGCTTGAGAAGTTGTGGGAAGGAACACAAGTAAGTTGACTTGAGATGACTTTGATACTCCGGTTTATGTGTATATATGGCCTTTAAATGCATTCCCTTCTAAACTTGTTGTTCTTTGTTTTTCTACAGCTGCTTACAAATCTGAAGAGTATAGATTTGAGTTATTCCAAAAATTTGAAAGAGCTTCCTGATATCTCAACAGCTACTAATCTAGAGTGTTTGAATCTGCACAAATGCTCAAGTCTTTTGGAGCTTCCCTATTCTATTGTGAATGCAAATGATCTCAAGGAATTAGATCTTATTGGATGTTGTCGCTTGGTGGTTCTCCCTCCCTTGGGTGAGAATGCAGTCGATTTGGATACAATAGATCTTACTGGATGTACAAATCTGGTGAAACTATATTTTTCAATTGGGAATGCCACAAATCTCCATAAATTGGTTCTTGTTGATTGTTCAAGTCTGATTGAGCTCCCTTCCTCGATTGAGAATTCCATTAATCTTGTGACACTGGATCTTAGTGGATGCTCAAGTCTAGTGGGTCTCCCATTATCTATTGGAAACCTCACCAATCTTCATGAATTGGTTCTTAGAGAATGTTCAAGTTTAGTGGAGCTTCCTTCATCGATTGGAAATGCTATTAATCTTCGAAAATTGGATCTCAGTGGATGTTCAAGTCTAGTGGAGCTTTCCTCTTCTATTGGTAATGTAACTAATCTTCAAATATTGGATCTTAGTGGATGTTCAAGTTTGATAGAGATCCCTTCCTCTACTGGGAATATAGTTAACCTTCATTTATTGGATCTTACCGGGTGTTCAAGTTTGGTGGAGCTCCCATCTTCGTTTGGAGATGCCATTTATTTTGAAGAGTTGGCTCTCCAAAAATGTTCAAGTTTGGTGGATCTCCCTTTCTCTATTGTGCAAGCCACAAATCACCAGGAATTGATTCTTGTTGAGAGCTCTAGTATGGAAGAGCTCTCAAGATCTTCTACTAAGACTTCTATTCTTCTTAACATATTGTTTCTAAATGGATGTGCAAGTCTGGTGAAACTTCCTTCCTCGATTGGGAATGCCATTAATCTTGAGAGATTGGAACTCAGTGGATGCTCCTTACTGGTGGAGCTCCCTTCATCGATTGGTAATTTAGGTAATCTGAGTGTACTGAATCTGAGTGGATGTTCAAGTCTGGTGAAACTCCCTTCCTCGATTGGGAATGCAACTAATATCCAAAAGCTGAATTTGTATGGATGCTCAAATCTGATAGAGCTCTCTTCTTCGATTGGGAATATTACTAATCTCAAGATATTAAATCTCAGTGGATGTTCAAGTCTGATGGAGATCCCATTCTCCATTGGAAATGCCACTAGTCTGGAGAAACTGAAACTCACCAATTGCTCAAGCTTGGTAAGGCTCCCTTCATCTATTGGAAACCTTCATAATTTGCTGAAGTTGAGCTTGCAAGGGTGCTTTAAGCTAGAGGTTCTTCCGGTCAACATCAACCTAGAATCTCTCAGAGAACTTGATCTCATTGGTTGTTTGATGTTGAAAAGTTTTCCTGAGATCTCTGTAAATATCGAACAGCTTAATCTTGTTGGAACCACAATAGAAGAAGTGCCTCCATCGATCAAATCTTGGTCTCGTCTTGGTGGATTGGCTATGTCATACAGTGGAAAACTCAAGGAATCTCCGTATGCTCTTGACAGCATCACAGCGTTGCATTTGACCGATACAGAAACACAAGAGGTTGCTCCATGGGTCAAAGAAATCTCACATCTACATGGACTTGATCTCAATGGATGCAAAAAGCTGGTATCGCTCCCACAACTTCCGGATTCGTTAACATACTTAGACGCAGAGAATTGTGAGTCTTTAGAGAGACTAGATTGTACCTTTAACAATCAAGAAATCCGTCTCAACTTTGCAAACTGCTTCAAACTGAGTAAAGAAGCGAGAGACCTCATCATCCGGACATCAAGTCGTTGGTATAAGGTATTACCCGGTAGAGAAGTGCCTGAGTACTTCACTTATCGAGCTACTGGAGGTTTCTTAGCTCTGAAGTTGAACGAGAGAGCTCTTCCTAGAAACTTGAGATTCAAGGCTTGCATATTGCTTGTTGAGAGTGACAAGGAGACTGGTGATGGGGACGAGGTGTGTTTAACCTATCACATGACCATGGGAAAACATTATGTTTTGGGCCAATCGGGATGCCACATATATCCACTTTTAGCGGAGCATTTGTACACATTCGAGATTGAAACGGAAGAGGTGACTTCCCGTGAGCTTCTTTTCGAGTTTGAAATTAGTGGTGATAAATGGGAGATAGGAGAATGTGGGGTAGTCCAACTGTTAGAGGTCGCTTCATGGTGATGGCAGCTTTGATAATCAATGCAAACGAAACTAAACAAAGCAAATCTACATGTTTGAGTAGAACAGCTTTTCTTGTCATCGTACACAAAACTTTCTTCCGGTTCTTTGTAAACGCAAAACCCATATAGGTTGCGCAACCCATGTTTGTAACTAGTTCTATATTTCAAAATCATGTTCTACAAAGTAGTGTTTATTGAACAAAAGAAAGAGATACAACATACTCTTTGTAGCTACAAACCGATATCACCAAGTAGGGATTTATAGAGAGAAAAATACACTGAGATTCAATAAAGACCAAGAAAAAAAAATATAATCTTCAAAGAGGCCAAAAGCTTTACGAGTTTCTCTAAAAAAAGTTAATATTTTGAGTAGATTGTGATGTAGGCAGCCATATATAGGAAGGAGATAAGAGGGAATGAGAATTTGACATACGTTCCATCAGACGATGACCCACTTCCTGGAACTGTTTTCGATCCATTTCCATGTTCTGTTCATATAGATAATGTCGACATAGATACACTTAGGTTCCATACAGCTTTTCAAAACCTGTTTTTTTTGTTTACTTTATATGCAAGTTATCCTTTTACCTGAAGTGTTTGATGATCCTGCTGGCGAATGAACCGAAGAACCATCTGGAAATAATAAAACTTGAATGCGTGAGAGACAAAAAGATGAATATGAAAAGTAATCCCAAAAATAAAACAGTCTTTTCTCTTACCATTGCAGCGACTAACAGGAGGAGTTTGAACATTACAAGCTCTAGGCAAAGCAAGAGCTTGTGTTTCGTTAACACTGATCCCAAGCTGAGAACCTCCACCTTTAAGAACCTCACACAAACACTCAGGAGAAGACTTGATAACATTAGCTAACTGGTTGCAGCATTGTTGAGAAGGAGAAGAAGAGTTTCCAGTAATGAAGTCGAGACACGGGGCCATGCTTATTAGAATGTCCGTGCAGCTCGAGCTCGACTGAGAAGAAACCGTCGATATCATCGCCATTGAAGCTGTGAGCAATACCAAACACAAAGCATGTGTCATGTTTTTCTTGTGTTGTTCCAAGAATTTCCCTCAAGAGTTTGTTTCTGTTTGGTTGTTTGAGTTTAATGGTTTGTGTTGTGAGTAAGTTAAATAAATAAGAAAATGAGGCCGCAGAAAAAGGCGAAAATAAGGAGGTGGCTTCATCTGGATGACCAACTTTTTGCAACACTTTTTGGTGAAGTTACGTTCTGATTTTGAAAAATGAGACTTATGTGAAAGAATCCGATGACTTAAGTTTTAGTGACTATTCAAGGAAATGCTTGTTAAACTATTTTTTATACACTGTTTTGATTATCATCAGTCTATGGGCTTCTTTTGTCTCAGTGTTTGTCATTACACTACCGTTTTGGGTTTATTAATATAAAAAAGCATTGCTGTGGGGGACTATCTCAAGAGATTGATAAAGTAAGAAAACATTGACATATGTCATCCTAGTCTGTTGGCGGAGCCAGAATTATTATGTAACAGGGTCATATAATAAAATAATGGTATGAGGAGAGGACTTGAACTTGGGACAAGGGGGTTATGTGAAGATTTAAACCAAATTAGCTAGCAAACACATCATTAATGTGGGTAAAAACAATTATTTATAAAAGTAGTAGGGGTCAGCTGACCCCCTTCTTCCCAACGTGGCTGCTACTCTGTTGTTACTTTGAATTTCTATTTCTATCCTATGTGTAAGCTGAGAAGATGCGGCAAACAGGGCAAGAAGAAACATTTTGTGTAACCGGCCGCCTGAGGACTATGTCTATAAATTGATGCAGTGAGAGTCGTCCCGCGTGATCACTGATGTTGTAAAGAAGAGGATTAAAGCTTTTTTATGTGCTCTGTTTTTGGATGATAAGAGTGGAGAATTGTAACCCCAACCTTATCAATTTTAGGTTTTTAGTCATTGTATAATTGGATTAAGGGATAAGAAATACAAAGGGTTTACGCAGAGCCGTACCCTATTTGAGAGAAAAAAAAAAACAAATCATTGGCCTACGGCATCGGATTATTTTGAAAAACTGTAAAGATTTTTTCCATTATTATATAGTGTAGTTTACATTCATCTAGTTAATCAAAACTACCAAAAGTTTAGAAACATAGACTGGTTAATAGCTTTGTCGGTGATAAGTACATGGATCTTCTTAAGAACAAAAATTATACTATGAGAGCAATTGTTATCTAGGATAAAATAAAAAAAAATTAGCTCACATAACCAAAATAAATTAACAAAGAGAGATCACCACTATGTATTTTCAGATCATCGTAAAAAAACACTCTATGGCTTTGGTATGTTAAACAAATATGAGTTTATTAAACATGGCACACTCCATTTACGCTGGCACGGCTCTGGGTTTACGCTTACGTTCTTACCAAATGTTCCGACATAATTAAGTTAATACAGAATAGTGTACCACTAACGAATTTTCTAGTTAAATTTAAATTTTCCATTCTAATGCATGTCATCTTTCTTCTGTGTGGTCCTTAAAGACTTTGGAGGAATATGGGGTCGTCCACGACTATAACTTTTATGGGTCGTCAACGACTTTGGGGGAAATAAGTTTGTATCTTTACTCGTTTCTTTAAAATTTCGTTGAAAACTCTATGCTCTTTACTCCATTTTTTTTGCATCATCATCAATATATAAAAAAAGGACGTGTTAGTTGTTACCTCCTCCATAGATAGCTTATCCAAAACCATTGCCATACTTTCTCTGATCATCTCTCTTTCCTCTCATGGCTTCCTCTTCTTCTCCTGCTTACGTTAAGAGATTCCATGTCTTCCCGAGCTTCCACGGAGCAGATGTCCGTAGAGGGTTTCTCAGTCATTTACACTATTACTTTGCAAACAAAGGGATCACGACGTTCAAAGATCAGGAGATCGAGAGAGGACACACGATCGGACCTGAGCTCGTGAATGCCATTAGAGAATCCAGAGTCTCGATCGTTTTGCTCTCGGAGAACTACGCCTCTTCGAGCTGGTGTTTAGATGAATTGGTTGAGATCTTGAAGTGCAAAGAAGATTCGGGGCAGACCGTGATGACTGTTTTCTACCATGTTGATCCGTCCAGTGTGCGAAAACAGAAGGGAGATTTCGGAAAAGCATTCGAGAGAACTTGCCAAGGGAAAAAAGAGGAAGTGAAGCAGAGATGGAGCAAAGCTTTGACTCATGTCGCAAACATTGAAGGAGAACATTATCTCAATTGGTATGATTTTTTTTTCCTTTTGCATATTTATAAAAAAAATGGTGAAACTTTTGTATGTTTAGATCTTTTCAACATATATTTTGTTTGCTTTTTGTTAGGGCTAACGAAGCAGATATGATCCAAAAGATTGCTACAGATGTTTCCAAGAAACTGAATGTTACACTCTCAAGTGATTTTGACGACATGGTGGGATTGCAAACTCACTTGAGAAAAGTGAACTCTTTGTTATGCCTCGAGCATGATGGATGATGTGAAGATGATCGGAATATGGGGTCCTGCGGGAATCGGTAAGACTACCATTGCTAGAGCTTTATTTACCAACTCTCTAGTGATTTTCGACTTAGATGTTTTATGGGGAACCTGAGAGGAGGAAGTTATAAGAGCTTAATGGGTGTTGATGATTATGGTTCCAAGTTGTGTTTGCAAAACCATCTTCTGTCTAATATTTTGAACCAAAAGGGTATGAGGGTAGATCATTTGGGTGCAATAAAAGAATGGCTACAAGATCAAAGAGTGCTTATCATTCTTGATGATGTAGATGATCTAGAGCAGTTAGAGGTATTGGCTAAAGAACGTTTTTGGTTCGGTTGTGGAAGTCGGATCATCGTTACCACACAAGATAAAAATATTTTTAAGGCCCATGGGATAGAAGATATCTACCATGTGGATTTTCCATCTAGTAAAGATGCTCTTGAGATGTTATGTCTATATGCTTTCAAACAAAGTTCTGTGCCAGATGGTTTTGAAGAGGTTGCAAGTAGAGTAGCAAAGCTTTGCGGTTATCTTCCGTTAGGACTTTCTGTTGTGGGTTCATCTCTGCGTGGGGAGAGCAAGGACGAGTGGGAAGTTCAGGTATCTAGGATCGAATCTAGTCTTGATAGAAAAATCGAGGATGTGCTGCGAGTCAGTTATGACAGATTGGTGAAGAAAGATCAAGATTTGTTTCTCCACATCGCATGCATCTTCAACATATGTTACACTGTTGGTTATGTGAGAAGCATGCTCGGCGACAGTAATTTGGATGTGGAAAACGGGCTGAAGACCCTTGCAGTCAAATCTCTTGTAAAAATCAATGCTCATCCTGATTCTAATTACTCTGATCAGAGTATAGTGATGCACTCTTTACTAGAACAAATGGGTAGACAAGTAGTTCATCAACAGTCGGATGAGCCAGGGAAACGTAAATTTTTAGTAGACGCCAAAGAGATACGTGATGTACTAGGAAATAAAACAGTAAGTTCTTAAATTAACATATTTTCTCATTAGAGATTTTGGGTATGGTGTTTTTACAACAGTTTTCATTAGTCTTTGTTTTGGAATATTTGTTTAGGGCACTGGATCTGTCATAGGTATATCACTTGATATGTCTAAGGTGGGCGACTTCTCTATAAGTGGGCGAGCCTTTGAAGGAATGCCTAATCTCCGTTTCTTAAAAATCTATGCGAGCCCATTGCAATTGCAGATGTCAGAAGACATGGAATATCTACCTCGTCTAAGGTTACTAGATTGGCATTCATACTCGAGAAAACGTCTTCCTCCAAATTTTCAACCTGAATGTCTCATAGAGCTCAATATGAAAGAAAGCAATCTTGAAAAGCTCTGGGATGGAATCCAGGTTGGAATTTTCTTATCGATTAAAAATCTCAAAATTCCAAATATGATTTTTTTTTTTCTTATTTCTTGTGTTTGACACATGTAGCCCCTTCCAAATCTCAAGACGATAAATCTGGCTTATTCTCAAAAGTTGGAATCAATCCCAAATCTTTCGAAGGCTACTAATCTAGAGACATTGAGTCTAGGTGGATGCACAAGTCTGGTGGAGCTTCCCTCTTCTATTAGGAATCTATACAAACTGAAAAGGCTGTGTATGGGGACCTGCGTAAAGCTACGAGTTATTCCCACCAACATCAACTTAGCATCTCTTCAACATGTCAACATGAGTCACTGCTCAAGCTTGAGAATTTTTCCAGATATTTCAAGGAACATCGAGCTTCTCAATGTAAGAGACACAAAGATAGAAGATGTTCCTGCATCAATTGTTGGACGTTTGTCTCGTTGTAGGTGGCTTACGATAGGCAGCAAAAGCCTCAAGAGATTAACACATGTCCCAGAAGGTGTAACGCGCTTAGACCTGAGCCATAGTGATATAAAGAAGATTCCAGATTGCGTCATACGTCTCCCTGTACTAACTTGTCTTATCCTCCAGAACTGCAGAAAGCTTGTGTCATTGCAGAGCCTTCCACCTTCCCTTTTGGATCTTGATGCAACTGATTGTGGATCGCTCAGAAGCGTATGTTTCTTGTTCTATGAAACAAAAACTTGTATTACTCTCAACGACTGCAAGTGTGTTAAATCGGAGAATGACGCAATAAGAGTATCTTCCTTTTTCTACGATCCATCCATAAAAGTCAGCTTCCTCAACTGTTTCTCCCTTTCTGAAGAAGCAAGAAGAGTAGTCATACAAGGATGGGGTTTCAAGAATGTATTGTTACCAGGTAAAGAAGTACCTGCAGAGTTCACTCACAAAGCGAAAGGAAACTCTGTAACCATCTCTTCAGGGATTTTCTCTGCGTCCTCAAGATATAAGGCTTGCCTCCTGCTTTTACCAGTCAAAACAGCTCGGCTGAACCTTCGAATCCATTGTCATGTAAGAAGCAAAGGAGTTCTCATCAACAATCTTAACTACTCTTCTGATATTGTACCATTTGATGACCTCCTAACTGAACACCTGTTAGTATTTTCTGGGGCCCTGTTTAAAGAACACATATGCGTTGAAGTGGACGCAGCTAAGAACGAGATTCAGTTTGAATTCATCTGCAAGAATTACGGTGTGGAGAATGTTGATGACATGATTATTGAGTGTGGTGTACAGATGTTGGCGGATGAAGGTGAGATAAGAGTATCTTCCTCTTTCGATTATCCTAACAGACGAGTTAGGTTCCTCAATTGTTTGTTACTTGATGAAGAAGCAAGAAGAGTAATCATACAACGATGGGCTTGCGATTCTGTATTATTACCAGGCAAACAAGTCCCTGCAGAGTTCATTCACAAAGCGAAAGGAAACTCCATAACCCTCTCTTCAGGGACTTTCTCTTCGTCCTCAAGATTTAAGGCTTGCCTCCTGCTTTCACCCAACATAAAGGTCGAGTTAGACTATGTTATTGTTTGTCGTCTAAGAAGCAAAGGGGTTCTCATCAATGAACTTAGGTTTTGGGAAACACAGTGTCCTCAACTCCTAACAGAGCACCTGTTCGTATTTCCTGGGCCCCTGTTTGAAGAACAAAGATGTCTCGAAGAGGACGCGACTACAAGTGAGATTCAGTTTGAATTCATCTGCGAGGAAATCGATGACATGATTATTGAGTGTGGTGTACAGATGTTGGCGGATGAAGGGGAGAGTAGTAGCAAAGAGCAGAGTGATGGAGCCGCTGAGGTCTCCAAAGATTCAAGTGTTGTCAAAAGAAGTAGGCATACATGTTGGTGAAGTTGGCTGGAGAAGCTTGGTCTGAGCAAGAAGATGAAAAAGTCAAATTCTCGTGAATCTCATGAGACACAACGGTGTTGCCCCTTGAAAGTTCTTCCAATCTTGTTATGTCTGACAATTTTCTCACTAAAATAAGTTCTTCCAATCTTTTGTACGACTGGAATCCTTTGACAACTGTTCTTCCTTGTACTGCTACATTACTTTTGGAGAAGAATTGGTTTTCTTGTAAATGCATGCGCTCATATTTCAAAATCACTGTGATTGGTATTACTGAGAAAATATGTGAAGGGAATAATAACGTGGTGAAATTTTTTGACTGATTTAGAAGGATGGCTTTATCTTTGTTAAGCAATGCTTCAATGTTAGATTTGTGTGTGTGGAAATTTAGACAAATTCAGGCATAATAAATTAAGATGAGTTTGGTTGCTTCGAATAAGGCTAACTAAGCAGAGATTATAGAATACAGATTGCATCAGCCATGGAACCTAAGTGTTGGAGCCTTATCTGGATCAAGCTATCAACAGAAGATGTGTGCTGGGTTCTTCTTTGCATGAGCTTGACTCTGACATTATATACCTTCTGTTTCAGGCACTACACATTGATTATCCAGAGATCAAACTGAGTCCATACAAAGTGAAAATATGGTTCAATCTTGCCTAAATAGCAAAACCCATAAAAAAACATTGATATAGCATTGGAGAAAACAGAACCATTGTATACACTCTTGACTCCTCAAAGATCCAAGAGCAAAGTAAATGAAAGTATCATCTATATGCTGCTGATGAAGCTTGATAGCATTGAGAAGTAACCCATGAACTGATGATGTTTTCATTTATTTTTCTGTTGGATCTTGGAGGAGCCACTAAGAATTTAACCATTCTTTTGCTAGATTGATGAATTCCAGAATCATAAAATAGAAGGATGCTAAAGTTTCAATGAAAAGGGAAGAAAACTCTCAATTCTCATTCCTCAAAGTTGTTGAAGGTTTGATTTGAATCATCACAAGTTTATATGTTATGAAAATGGACGGTACTGCTGTTTCAATGTGTGATATCATAAAGAACAAATCTTACAAGCAGAAATTTTGAAGATTTTAGTTTCTCATCAGATTCAAGACTCAAAACAAGACTGAACCTGGAAGATAAGAGCACGCATGCAAGAAACCTTCATCCTTTGATGTAATTACTCTGATCTCCTCCTCTTTTCTCAAGCTGTAACCATTCTCTCCAAAGATGCGAGCTATGTGACGAGTGGGAGGCGTTTTCACATGTTTCTATTCATAAAAAAAAATCACTGCTCTCTTCTCCTAGTCAATAAGGAAAGCCCCCACCACTCTCAAACTCCAACCCTTTAAACGGTCCACCAGTATCCAACGTTAAGAACTTCACCAAACGGCCTCGGGATCGATATTAGTCGACACCTATATCTCCAAGTCAAGTGTATCACTGCTCTGAAACAACACCACGAGCTGCTCTTCTCTAACGCTAGATAGAGATACAGCATCAGGACACCAAGACGTAAACGGCAGAGGCAGACGCGGTGCAAATCTCTCGGCAGTAAAATCAAAACAGAGCAAAAAATAAAATTTACAAACCATCAAATAAATTTTCTAACTAAACCATAATGAGCGGGGAAACATACGATGTAGTATTTTATTTTTATTGGCCAACATTAACAAGTTTTCAAAGTCACCAATTTAGAATTTTGTATCTTCAATATTAGGCACGTCATCTAATACTTCTGCAACAATTGTTAGATGACTAAACTGAATAGAAACCTTATGATTTGTCAATTTCATTCGATTGATGTTCTCTTCAAGGTCAAAGTTGATAATATGATAGATACATCACACGTTCTTGTAGTTGCTAAATTGCTAACATACAGTCTTCAACTACAAGAACATGTTGAAAGAAGGATGTATTTATCATAAGAGAACGTCAATCGACTGAAATTGACAGATCACAAGTTCTCTATTCAGTTCAGTCATCTTACAATTGCTGCATAAGTGTTGGACTGTCCTAATATTGAAAAAACAAAATTCCAAATTCGTGACTATGAAAACTTGCGGGAAAACGCCGATTCCTACCTCAACTAGAATTATAGGCACCAATCCCTACCCCAACTTTTTAGGTGTACCAATCCATACCTCAACTACAAAAAATCATCCATTTTATACCCGAACTTTACTCTTCTTGGCCAAAACGAGCATTGACTAACGTTTTGTTAGTCAACTCCGCTTTCCTGTTAACGAGCATTGACTAACGTTTTGTTAGTCAACTCCGCTTTTCTGTTAACGGAGATGACTCAGCATGACACGTCATCTTCCACGTATATTTTTTGTTTTTTACAGAACTCAAAACAACGTCGTTTCGAACCACTGCTCTCGAGGAAAGAAGAAAAGGAAGATGACCACTAGCCTACATAGACATTATTGTTAAATTCTACATCTTATATATATAAGGAATGTAAACACATACATAGTTTTAATGATTTTGTTTAAATGTTTCAAACTATTGGCTCTCAATTTTATGTTTTAACAACCATACATATATATTTAACAATTAATCTGAATTATTTTAATTTTTCGAATTTGAAAAAAATCAGTTTTTTAAAAGAAAAACATAGTAACCAGCTGACTTATGACATATCTTTTATTTGTTACTAAAGAAAAAAATATTTATTATAAATATATGATTTTATATAGAATTTATATTAAACTGTTAATTAATGTTCCGATAATAATTATACATTCATACTGGTGAATAATATAATGATTTTAATATAAAATATTATCAAAGTTTGAGTCCGTTTAATATAATTTTATATAATTTATATTAAATCATTATAAATGCATAATATTAGTTATTATCTGAATTTTGGTTAAAAATTAATTTAATTATATTATTTTAAATCCAAAAATTGAATTAGTTCGATTTAACTGTTAAATAGGTATTGGAGAAATGTTGTTAAAACATAAAATTGAGAGCCAATAGTCTTAACATTTAAACAAAATCATTAAAACTATATATGTGTTTACTTTCCTTTATTATATATATATATATATATATATATATATATATAGGATGTAGATGTTAATTATAATGTCTATGTAGGCTAGTGGTCATCTTCCTTTTCTTCTTCCCTTAAGAGCAATGGTTCGAATCTCCTAAGAATCAATTTTCTGAAAATATTAAAACGACGTCGTTTTGAGTTCTGTAAAAAAAAAATCCACGTGGCAGATGACGTGTCATGCTGAGTCATCTTTTTTAACAGAAAAGCGGAGTTGACTAACAAAACGTTAGTCAATGCTCATTTTGGCTAAGAAGAGTAAAATTCGGGTATGAAATGGATTGAGGTATGGATTGGTACACCTCAAAAATTGGGGTAGGGATTGGTGCCTATAATTTTAGTTGAGGTAGGAATCGATCGTTTTCCCGAAAACTTGCTAATGCTGGCCAATAAAAATAAAATAGTACCACATATGTTTCTCTGCTGAAAAGAAAATAAATTATTAAAATAAAATAAATTGAGTGCACTAAAATACATTAAGACCGGATTTGGACTCCGATATAGTTTCAGGATTATGTAATTCAACACTTAAAATTATCTTTAACTAATCCAATAATCTAAAATATTTTCTAAAATATTCTTATTAATCAATTAACTTTTAAGAAAAACCTATTTTTGAAAGATGAAAAAAAATCCTATTATATTGTTGAATTAACCAAAAATAATCAAGTGTTAAAATACATTAAAACGTGAACACAAATCGAATGCGGCCCCTCTTACTGTACAAAGACAGAATTCCGACTCCGGTATGGTTTTACAATTATGTAATTTAACACTTAATTATTTCTAATTAGTAATTAATCCAAAGATCTCAATAGAATTGTTAAAACATTTGATCATAAAATAAATATTTTAAAAAAAAAAAATCTGAAAACCTAAATTTTATTTCCATTGTTGAGAGATGTGAAAGTAACTTACGGAGTTACGGTTATGTCCATCAGTCCATGACATATCTGAATTGGCTCTAGGTCCTCGTTGTTTGTATCGTCAACATTTCCTGCCAAATCCGCATCTGGTTATTACAAAAATATTTTCCAAAGTAGAAAGAAGTCTTGTGCCTTACGTCTCATCTCTCTTAAAATATTATATTCCCATAAACAAATTCTAACATAAAACCTCACATGAAAATTTCACAAACCCAAAGGTTTTGTTTGTCTATGTCGTTTCCCTGGATGGATTTTGATTACGTGACTGAACACAACACATGAATTAAAAAGCAGAAAGATGCGTGAAAAATCTATATAACATTATTACCGGACGATATGAATGACTTATGACATGATTAAGAAGAGGACACTAATTGCTTCGTTACTAAGTTTTGGGTTTAAACATTTACAAATTCAAGATACACAATCTGCAGCATTCAATTCAACCAAGAAGAACTAAGTCACTTCGGAGAAAATCAACAAGTCTTAATTAATCCTACGAACGGGTTTGACGAAATTGAAAGCCCCCATAATAACTAACATATCCAAGGGCAGAGATACGTCTCCAACGTATATACAAAGTCAATCGGAATCAAAATTCGTGAAAAAGAGAATCAGAAAATACCATGACACGGAGAGGAGGATTCTGGATCAACGTCGTCTTGAAGGAGTAGGAGACCAGAGAGAGAGGCTGGATCTGGACGATGAACAACGACACAAGAAATTAGGGTTTTCCGATTCGGAAAGATGAACAGAGGCGAGACGGCGACGTAGGTGTGAGATTTCCGATCGGAACGGAGAAGAAATGATGATGAACGACGGAGAGTGAAACTAGGGTTTTACGCACACGAAAAAAAAAAAAAAAATTCTGAACGAAACAGAGAAAGAGCGATGCGAATCCTGAGGAAGAGAGGTTTCTAACCGTTTTGTGTTGTTCTGAGTATTTATAAGCTTCATGGCCTTTTTTTCTGTCCAACGGTTATGGTATTAAAACTTTCAAATTTTGATTGTTAAACTAAATGTGGCCGTTAACAATGAAATTTTGTGAAAAAATGTAAATTTAAATGAAATTATAAGCTTAATATCCGAGAAATATCTTTATCAAATAAAAGATCCAGAAAAATATCGAACACTGGCAAACTCAACGCAAGTCTTAGGGGCAAATTGGTAAATACAAGAATTATCAAGTCCTTCCCTCAGTTTGTTATTTCCCGCCACCATTGTTACGCGAGTCTCAGTCGTCACTTTCAGATTCAACCATAACTAATCTCTCTAACTGAATTCACGAAGGAGAAACTCTGTAACAACCGAAAATGGCCGTCTCAAGCACCACCGTCGTATTCATCTTCGTTCTCGCGATCAGCTTCTCTTCCTCCGCCGTGGCCGAGACGCATGCGCCTTCTTCTCCACCGCCTCTGACCTGTACGGAGGAGCTGGTTATGTTCTCTCCATGCCTTCCTTACGTCTCCGCTCCGCCGAACAACATGTCAGAGACGCCGAATCCTCTTTGCTGCTCCGTTTTCTCCACTTCTGTTAATTCTAGCTCCGGAATTTGCCTCTGTTATCTTCTCCGGCAACCGCTGATCCTAGGATTCCCGTTGGATAGATCTAGACTGCTTTCACTTTCCCAGATCTGTAACGACCATAGCTCCGACGAATCACTCGAGTCTCTCTGCTCGCTATCAGGTTAACTTCGATTCCTTCTAAATCCAATCCAATCGAATCGATTGATTTCTCTGTCGAATCCTAGATTTGTGGTTTTAAGGATTTTGATCTGTGGTGCAGAGTCGCCGGAGCTTCCTCCGCTTCAGAGTATCCAGTTTACATCTCCGTTTTTTAACGGTGAGAGTTATGAACCGGAATCGATTTCGATGAATTCGGTAATTTTTGGTTGAATGAAATGAGACGAACTTCATTGATGATATCTGCAGGTGATGGAGTTTCCGCCTCTCCTCAATCCGTCGGCCTACCACCGGAATCCGCCAGAATTTCACCAAGCTCCGATCAATTCTCCCCAGAAACAGCACCACCACCACCGCCAATTGAACAATCCATCAGGAGTAGCTCTCCAAAGATCAGAAGTTTCTGGTTTCCATCAACCATCATGACTATAGCCATTTCTTTCCTCACTCGCATCTGAAGCAATCTGTGCTTAGGTTTACTTCTTTTTTTTCCCTTTTCATTCTGAACTTTCATTGTACATTGTTTTCGAGTGCTCTCTCTTTTGAATCTACATTTTATCTGCTCCATATGTTCTTCATCGAACAAAGATGATATAATGGAAGAAGATGATGTTTACGTTTTACGTTTCCTCTACTTTTTGGCTTTGTGCATTGAACAAAAAGGTTATAGAGGAAGAAGAAGATCTACAGATACACACATCATAGCATATTCTCATAAGAAACTGTTTTTCATTTCATAGTTTTAACACAGGAATAACAACATATCATATCATTATCTGGGGAACTAATTTCCATGAAGCTTTTGAAGTTCAACATAAAAGCAAATGTCAGCTAAGTAAAATAGAAACCAGCATAAACGACTCAGACAGCAGCAGTGGTGACGTCTTGTACAGTCATACGCCAAGCGTACTCACGAGCTCCATCCTTGTCGACGATCTTGATAACAAAGTTTGGTGGCGCAATGACGAGCCTTGACCTGATCTCAAGTATGCATTGGTCGACCAATTCAATGGCTTCCTCAACAGTCATGTCGCTGCGGTAGTGCCTGTCCATCGTGGAGAGTGAGAAGTATGAGCCGTAGCCGAATGCTCCCTTATCAACCTTGTGAAGAGTTGCAATGTAGTCGATGTAGTATAGAGATGCGCCTGCTTCTTTGTCGTAGCCAGCCATCAGGATGTTCACAGAGTATGGGTTCTGGAATCAAACAGAACAAACAAGAGCAATGAGAAATCTCATGACGGTTTAAGCAAAGGCCACATGGGTTTATCAGTATAAAATACCCCTCAACAATGTTTACAAGTTGAAAGATTCTACTAGAGATCGGCCAAAAGACCACAGATCAGTTACGCATGAGCCACATAAAATAGAGTAAACAAACTTTCTAGTCTTGTAAATTCTTATTCAAAGCAACTACAGTTACTTATCAAGCTTGACATAAGGAGACTATCAGTTTTCATTAGAGTTTCATCTTTCCCACCTAAAGACGTATCATGATTCTAAACTTTGTTACTTCAACAAACCCGGAGAGTAACTTCTGTGACATCCAAGCACGGAACAGGAAAGTTCCTAGCATTTACAAAACTGCAACAAAGTTTTGAAACAAAGCAAAGTTTGGAATAGTCTCACTGACTTGGTAAAATTCTTTGATCATCTCAAAAGTGTGACTGCATAATGAAAATATAGGTGTTTCTTCCTACAGCATCCAAATACTTTTTGTAATGAAATCATAACTAGAGTACTAAATTCAATAACTTAAAACTCGTATTCTGAGTCTCAAAACCTTTTGAATCCACAATAATTTTACACGGCCGGATAAAAGGGGAATTGAACCCCAAGAAAGTAACAGCTTAAGCATATCAAACAATCATTCACTATCTATCACCATAATATTAGCACAACCACAATATGACAAAGGAAAGTTTCAATCCGATACCTCAATAACACACAAGATTAACTATATTGTATCAAAAGTGGAATAAAAAACCAAGAATAAGCACATTATATCAACCCACCACTTAAAAGGTTGCTCCAGCTTTGGATTAATTTACTGATATTCCACAATCTCACTATGCATACAAAAATCTAAAGCAAAGAGACTAGAAACCCAAGTTCCCCAATCACAACTAACATATCCCAAAATCATCAGTGAAAATATTAATCAGGGAAAAATTCTGAAACCAAAAAACCCTAGAAGAGTTTACAAAAGAGCTCACCTTTCTCAAAGCAGTGGCGAGCTCTCCACGAGTGAAGTTCGCAGCAGCAGCTGTTGTCAAAGGAAGCCCATTTCGGAACTGATACAGTGACACATTCTTCTGAACATACTCCGTAAACTGAACCCTATAAAGTCCAAAATTACGAATAAAATTCATCTACTAATCAGAGAGGCATACAGAAAGACAGAGAGAGGCGGAGGAGGATTTACCGGTCACCAGGCTCGCCGCTAGCGGCGATGAGCTTGTGGGAGTCAAGGGCCATGATCTTGTCCTCGTTGTTTTTGTGAAGAAGGATACTGTGAACTGCCGACGAATCCGCCGCCACGATGGCGAATCCATTCCCGACGAGACCGAATACGCACTCCATCTTCTATCGCTACTTCAGATCTGAGCTAAAATTTCTTCTACGTTTCGAATTTCGATTCGGATTATTCTTTTCCTCCAACGCTATAAGAGCTTAGATCAAAGCGACTTGAGGAACAAGACGGGGTGATCGGGTAATTGTGGAAGATATTAAGGGGTAATTTCGACATATTAGGTGAGAGAAAAATATTAAGGGGTAATTTCGACATATTAGGTGAGAGAAAGAGAACTAATTGGGCTAGTGTTGACATATCTATTTTCTAAAGTACGAGTATGTATGTGAGAGTTTAAGAAAATATAGGGGTTTAATTTGTAAATTAACATTGATTCTGCAAGCAACCTCTCGTTTTCTTCTCTCTCCCGCTTCTTGCTGAGTCGCCGACCTCTGGAGAAGAATAAGGTCTAACAATGGAAGTCTCCGGTTATTCCTTCAGTCTCTAATTAGAATTCATTCGATTCTCTTTGATTCGATTGGACTAACTTCTCTTTTTTTTTCTCTTTATCTCCACTTCGATTTCAAGGGATTAAACTAGTTTAATTTTCTGTAATTCTGAACTTTTTTCCGAAGCAAAGCACTTATTCCCGAAAAAAGAAATGAGATGTTTTGCAATTCTACTTGAGTTGTATTTCCCTTGGTGAGCCATAGATTTATTTATATAAAAGAAACTGCTCTGCTCTTTCTTCAATTCCCACAAATTTAAAAATGGCGTATTCTGTTCATCGGCTTCGAAAGGTTTCAGCTTTAGGGATTTCTCGTGTTCTTCAAGGTTGGAGCTTCGAAACCCTTTTTTGTTATCTGTATTAAGTTTCTCGTTTGGTTCTCCGAAATTGCTGGAAATGACAAAAAATTTCTTCATAGACATAGTTAGCTCCACTTTATCTACTATCTTAGAAAGGCAATCACCAGAAATGATCACATGGATGGAGAAAATTTCGACATTTTATAATTTAAATTTCTCAATAAGTGACCTTTTTCTTAGCTCTGCAGCTTCTACACTTTCGTTTCGGTATAAGTTTTTAGAAGAAGATTGGATTGGTTATGTTGTATCTTATGATGGCTTCGTGTTGCCAAATGTTTCACAGCTGATAAGGGAAGTTTGTGGCGGTTTCACTTGAAACCTGAGGTTAGTGAGTTTATGAGATTAGGTGTCTTGACTAGGAACTACAAAAAGAGCTCCGGATCCCCAAAGTTCGACTTCACCGGCGATGGAACCACCACCTCAAAGTTCGATTTCACTGATCTCACGTAAGACCAAAACTTCTTCTAGATTCCCTGTTAGCTCCCCAATAGCAATGATACACGTTTCTCTTTGTGGTTCCATTCTTCAGATCTTAACCATGCTTAACCTTAAATTTCAGCTCTCCTCATACATGGTATCCAGTTGCGCGGAAGATGAAGCGTAAGGTCGTTCTACATGTTGGTCCGACTAACAGTGGGAAAACATACAGTGCCCTTAAGCAACTTGTGCGGAGCTCTTCAGGTATGCCTTAGAAGGTGACTGACTTGACTACTACTAAACCTTTCTTTCTCTGGAAGCCGTTTCTTGAAACAGTTTTTAAGATTTGCTTCTTTTACTTGGAAGGTGTATACTGCGGCCCGTTGAGATTGTTGGCGTGGGAGGTAGCTAAACGGTTAAACAAAGCAAATGTTCCTTGTGATTTGATCACTGGACAAGAGAAAGAGTTAGTGGAAGGTGCGAACCACAAAGCTGTGACTGTTGAAATGGCTGATGTCTCATCGGTCTACGATTGTGCCATCATTGACGAAATTCAGGCTAGTTCTTGCTTTGACTTTGGCTAAACAAATTGAATTGCAGTAACTCTTTTGTCTTCTTATTCTCCTCTCTTTTTCTTTCACTAATGTCAGATGGTGGCATGTAAACAAAGGGGATTTGCATTTACTCGTGCTCTACTCGGCATTGCAGCTAATGAGCTGCATTTATGTGGCGATCCAGCTGTTGTACCTCTTGTTGAAGATATACTGAAAGTAACTGGAGATGATGTTGAGGTAGAGTTCTTTTTTCTTCTGTGATACTTTAGACACTCTTGATGTAATGTAATCACGACCTCTTGATCTCCTCTATCTTGTATATTTAGGTGCATACATATGAGAGGCTTTCGCCATTAGTCGCTATGAAGGTTCCAGTTCAGTCAGTTTCCGATATTAAAACTGGGGATTGTCTTGTAACCTTTTCACGAAAAGATATTTATGCGTATAAGGTTCGCATTTATTTATCTTGTTCTCTTTTCCTGTATCTTGCATCATAGAAGATATTTGGCATCACATCTGTATTTAGTATTTGCTTCTTATTGTAGAAAATAATTGAAAAGCCGGGGAAGCATCTTTGCTCTGTGGTTTATGGTTCATTGCCTCCAGAGACTCGCACAGCACAGGTTTGAGTTTCCTTATTGTCCTGGCTTTAGACTTCACTGGATGGTCTAAGAATCATCATGTGTTGGAGTTATTCTCTCGTATTTGAATGCTTTAAGAACTACAGGCAACAAGATTTAACGACGAGACCAATGACTTTGATGTGCTTGTTGCCAGCGATGCGATTGGCATGGGTCTTAATTTGAATATTTCAAGGATTATCTTCTCGACCCTTCAGAAATATGATGGTAGTAAGACTAGAGACCTAACAGTATCCGAGATTAAACAAATTGCAGGTAAAATTTCAACAAAGATACCACTTAAAACTCAAGAACTGTAGTATTTATGTTAATAATGTGTTCTTGTCAAGTCTAGAATTAAAGGAATGTAGTGACTGGACCCTGATCTTTGTTTGTCTCATGTTCCTGTCGTAGGGAGAGCTGGCAGATTCCAGTCAAAGTTCCCTGTTGGCGAAGTAACTTGTTTGTACGAAGACGACCTTCCGTTGCTCCACTCGTCTCTTAATTCTCCTTCACCTCTTATTGAGGTAGTTTTTAGTATATAACCTCAAGTATAGTTCTCTTCTCTACCTGTATTCCTTCTTATGCTTGTTCTTGAAGTTTGCACAAAACTTGTATCATGCAGCGTGCTGGACTCTTTCCAACATTTGACCTCCTATCTAGGTATTCGCAAGCACACCCTAAACGAGGGTTGTATCATATACTGGTAAAGATACATTTTTTCCTTCGTTGTTCTCGGTCCTTTAATGAGTGTGGATCTGAAACCATGGCTCGTTAACTTTGGCAGGAACATTTCGTTGAAAATGCAAAGTTATCTTCAAACTACTTCATCTCTAATGTTGAAGACATGATGGTAAAACTCAGTGATAATGAACTTTTGTTGTTCACACATGAGAAAGAGAAATTGAATTATTTGTTTGATCCTGATTGTCAGAAAGTTGCGGCTCTCGTTGATGAATTACCCATCGGATTGAAAGAGAAGTACCTTTTCGTGGTCAGGTAATAGCAAAAGAGTTACATGTTTTTTCATCTTTTCTTGTTTCTTGCATTCACCAAGATTCAGGTGGAAACAAGCTTTGGTCTGATCAAAACGTAATCTCGTACAGTCCAGTTGACATAAATGATGAAATATCAGCTCTGGGTTTTACACAGGTTACACATTCTTATCTCTCTTCTCTTACTAATGGTATGTATGCATGTAAAACAATTGTTCACTCTTACCTTTTTTTTTTTCCTTTTCTTAATGCATCAGTTTGCTAAGAGATTCTCCAAGAGAGGCATTGTGAATCTCCGAGAGATATTTGAAGAAGACAGAGTTAAGGTTCCCAGAACACCAACAGAACTCAAGGAACTTGAATCCCTTCACAAGGTAAAGACATATTTCTTCTCCTGTGATTGACTGAGTGGTGATCAAAGGAACATGTATCACAAGATGAGCTAGAAAAATGAATCGTGATGGGGATTGTGAGCTAAATACAGAATCTTGAAAGATCATATGCAATAGATGGGGGTTTTGAATTTGATCTTAAGCGTTCCATTAATTCGAAATGTTTGGATTTTGTTAGTCAGCTAAAATATGTTTTACGATTGAACAGGTTCTTGATTTGTACGTATGGTTAAGCTTAAGGCTAGAGGATTCTTTCCCTGACCGAGAAGTGGCAGCTTCGCAAAAGTCAATCTGCAATTTGTAAGTCGATAAACCGCAAGTCTTTTTTTTTCCTTTGGCTCTGCTTTTCTTTCTGATGCAAAGAAACATTGAATTATCTACTTTACAGATTGATTGAGCAGTTCTTAGAGGGAAATAGATTGATCTCTTCATCCGGCTTCTCGAAAAATCAGAGGAAGCGACGATGATTCTGAGTATACGTTTCCAGTTTGATTAGATAATAATTCATCTTCCTCTGCTCGTTGGTTTGGTCTTTAATGAAGAAGTAAAAGACCAGTTTGTTGTGCCACACAACTTGATAAAAGAAGCATTCAAAAGAAGCATTTAATTTATATTTCTTAACCATTTGACATGCTTTCAGATGTACCAAATGCTTCTGTTATTGTTACTTCTACAACGAATACGAAGCAGAAGAAGCACAACACAAAGACTGATCCATAGTTTGTGTTACTCTTCTTTTCGTCTGCAAAACATTTTTGTTTTTCTTTTTCTGAGAGTTTGTAAGGTTTGAGTTGTGTACATCTCAATCTGAGCCTAATTATATATATAGCCTTAAAAGAAGCATTCAAAAGAAATTGTCATGTAACTTTATAACAGTGTCATTAAACCATTTAGTTTACTTCTCTTAATCTTTTCGTTAAGGAAGGAGGACATATGCTCTCAGATGCAATAAAAGCATTATTGCCAATCAGTCATACATATATAACATACCACAAGCAGCTGAGAATTGAAATACAATTCGTTAAGCGAATATGAGAATCAGAAGAAGCATTCCATAATAAATAAAGAAAGACTATTGTTTTTACTTATCGAGATGGTTCACAATTATAGTTGCTTGCTTGCTTCAAACGATAATAGAGTACAAAGCCAAAAAAAAAACATAACTTTAGCTAAAGCCAAACAAAGACTTATCAAGAACCTAAAAACACTTACGATAGAGCTTCACATCCTCTACATGGTCTAGACAAGTGAAATATTCCCAAGACATGGACTTAGACGTATCTATTCCTTGGATTTCAACTCTTACGACAGTGTTCCTCTCGAGATTAAGATAGTAAAGGTAAAAAGGGTATGCTGGATCGTCCGACGAGAACACAATGTCATTTGTCCGAGTCACTCCAACACAGCTTAACTCAGCTTTTCTAACTACATTCTTCCACACAGCAGGCAATAAGTATATACGATCAGACCATTCCTCTTTCTCCACATCTTCTAAAACCCACAGCTTGAAACTTGTACTTTTTTCAGTAAATATAGACTGAAACACACAACCTAACTTGCCATTGTAGTTTACCAGAGTTCCTCCATTAAGCAATGCTCCATTGAGATCTCCCTTGGGTTTCAAAAAGCTGAAACTCTCAGATCTAACATCAAAGCAAACTATTACACAAGTCTCTGTAGACGATTTGATAGATATATAATACAGAACACCATTGATGCATATCGGTTGAAGTATAGTGTAACTGGGCATGTAACACTCGATCGTTCTCCATGACCAATTTATTTTTCCTCCAGTTCCTAGTGTTAGAAGTTGATGTTGGCCCCAAGGCTCATCGCCCTGACGTCGATATAGTCCGTGACTTTGATATAACCAAACAAGAACTTCACCGTATCTGGTCTCCTCGTCTTCACTTTGGGTAAGATTCCCGATTCTCCGGTGCTAGGGTTCCATATCACCGGCGCTCTTTCCTCTTTTCCCTTTGAGATTCGGTTACTCGAAAGACAGACAATGCCATGGACACCATAACTGATGTCATCGATGTCAATGGAAACTTTAAAGTAGAACTTCATATGGCAACTGGCGACTACAGGAGACGACTTCTCATCCGGACTTTGAGGCTGAGGTGACGTGAAGAAGACCACGCCTCTCTTTTCTCTGCATGCGAACAATAGCTTAGGGCTTGTGGAACAAGACCTTCTCAAGATCAGCTCGGTGAAATCTGGACGGCGGAGTGTGGAGTACCAAAGCTTCGATACGCAACGACATGTCGCTATAGATTCCACCGAAAGCTTCGAGAATATCTCGATCAGGAAATCAACTGGGATTGACGATGGTGAGGAGTTCTCTGAGGTCTTCGATTCCGTATTGTGCGGGGTGTTGATGGGAAGACTATCACCAGAGACGCTATTCTGCCGCCGTGTTTTCATGGTGGACTGGAGGTCAAAAGTTAAAACCCTAGAGAGAGGAGCCAATACCATTGTTACTTAACAGTTGTACCAAAAAAACTTAAAATTTTTTTAAGAAATACATTTCTATGGTGTATATTTTGTTATTAAGTGGTTTGTACGACTGACATAACAATTGAAAATGAATGTGTTTGCGGGATACTTATGACTGGTTCACTTGGGGATGCAATAGCGGTTAAACAATAAATTAATAATATAAATACATTATATAATTATAAAAACATCAAAACTATATTACAATGAAAATATTAAATTTATGGTTCAATATAATTTATAAAAAAAAATTATTAAGGTTTAGGGTTTAGATTTATGATTGAACGGTTCAAAGTTAAATTTTAAGGTTTATGGTTTAGATTTAAGGGTTTAGAATCTTTTACTCGAAACAAAAGTGTAGTTTTGAAATTTTCCCAAAACTTGATTCACTCATTTTTTTTTATTATATGCAATAAATGGGGGGTGTTGAATTTGATCTTAAGCGTTCGATTAATTCGAAATGTTTGGATTTTGTTAGTCTAAAATATGTTCATGATTGAACAGATTTTGGATCTGTATGTATGGTTAAGCTTAAGGCTAGAAGATTCTTTTCCTGACAGTGATGTTGCAGCTTCGCAAAAGTCGATCTGCAATTTGTAAGTAACTTAACCGCAAGCCTTTCCTCTGCTTTGCTTCATGTTCTGATGCAAGAAACATTGAATGCTCTACTTTCGAGAAAAAAAATAGAAAAACGATTTTTCAAAAAAAAACAATAAACAAAATCCAACCAGGTTGTGACACATGGCATACTTGTGTCAGAGAAATATTCCTAAAAGCTCTTCTGGGAGAGACGTCCCTCTTCTTGATGCTTGCCACATAGGTAAATATATTTTATTTTATTTTGCTAAAGAACCCATCATAATCTCTCCGTTGCACGTGCTCTTACGATTCGAGAATCCAGAACAGACTCTTGAAACTTATAATCATGAGATTGACGAAGTAGATATGTAAACTTAGAATCCATTTTGTATGACTCTGATCTTGGTTACATACATAAACAAACTAAAACTGTCGCATTTTGAGTGTGGAAACCAAACAAAATCTGAGAAAGAAAGAGAGGACCTCTTTTATAAGGTATAGTTTTCTAGGACGTAAAACCATATCCTAATTTTCGAAGGTGGAATCAGTCTTAGAGAAGGAAATGATCTCGACTTCAACCGTGAACGGATCGTCCACAACCAAACCTTTAGATGCATCATTCAGATCTGCAAGTGGTACAAAATTCTGGAAATACCATCCATTATCATTTGCTGCATTGGGCCATCCTTCCACTTGTCCATAATAACAACAAAAAGACGAAGAGATCTAATCAATCAGCACTAGTTATTATTAATAGATAGAACATTAAAATAGTGAGGAACACTGACCTAGCTTCTCTACATGGTTGGACTTGAGTTGGTCAAGAACTCGTAGCTTGGCTCGTACGTAAACCTTTTCACTATACGTACTCAGCAAGTAGAATGACAATTATGTACGTAAATCAGATTCTTGAGGCGTATGTATATCAGTTATATCCACCGACGGTGAAAGGAAGAATGTAAAGAATGAAGTGATTGTGCCACACACCTTTGTAACAAAAATCATTGAAAATAAATTTTCATGTAATTTTATACCTGTGTCATTAACAGTAGAGAACCGTTTAATTTATTTCTTTTAAGGGCCTGATGGTTCTCCCGCTACCACCCGCAAACGCAGCGTTTGCGGTTCGTAGCGGTTTTCGGCGGTTTATAACAATCACGACAACCGCTTTGAATCGCTCTATACCACTCTGTACCGCTCTATATCGCTGAAAATCAAAAGCTCCTTTCCGCAAGCGTTTGCGGTTGCGGGCGGTTGCGGGTGGATAATTAAAAAAAAAAAAAAAACACAAACTTATATAAAATCCGAAAATAAATAATAATATTTATTAAAAAATAAGATTTGGATAATAAAATCACAATATAAATAAAAAATTAGTACTTTTAGTCAATATTCATTAAAATCATATAATACTTATATATTTATAAGTTCTACAAATCAAAATTCTCTTGATAAATATTCTTTTCATACTAATACATATATATCTAATAAATAAAATTGTAAAATAAATTTAATTTTCACATTAAATATATATTTTGAAAATAAAATCACATTTTTATTTAAATTATAGAAATTAAAAGATAGACGTAAGTATTATACACATATTATTCTTTATAAAAAAATTATTTTTAATTATGTTGAACCATAAATTTAAAATTTTCATTATAATATAGTTTTGATATTTTTATAATTATATAATGTGTTTATATTATTAATTTATTGTTTAACCGCTATTGCATCCGCAAGTGAACCAGTCATAAGTACCCGCAAACGCATCCATTTTCAATTGTTATGCCAGTCGTACAAACCGCTTAATAACGCTACTAATCACAACCGCCCGCTTCCGCAAACTCCCGCACCCGCAACCGCAACCGCAGCGGTTAAACCAGTCAGGCCCTAAATCATTTCGTTAAGGCAGAACATATGCTCTCAGCTGCAATATAAGTATACGTATTAGTATATAACATACCACAAGCAGCTTAATTAGAATTGAAATTCAATTCGTTAAGCGAATATTAGAATAATCAGAAGCATTAATCCATAACAAAACTATATATTATTTTTACTTTTTACTTAGCGAGTTGGTTCACAATTATAGTTGCTTGCTTCAAACGATAATAGAGTACAAAGCCAAAAAGAAACATAACATTAGCTAAAGCCAAACAAAGACTTAAGTTATCAAGAACCTAAAAACACTTACCATAGAGCTTAACATCCTCTACATGATTTAGAGAAGTGAAACATACCCAACAGTTAGACGTATCCATTCCTTGGATTTCAACTCTTACGACAGTGTTCCTCTCGAGATTAAGATAGCAAAGGTAAAAAGGGTTTGTTTGATAGAACGACGAGAACGCAATCTCATTTGTCCGAGTCACTCCAACAAAGCTTAAATCATATTCTCCAACTACGTCCTTCCACACAGCAGGCAATACGTATATACGCTCAGACCA